AAAGACTTTTCAAAAGTAATTTGCCCAAGTCAATAAATTTGACGAGTGCCAATAATTTCATTAAAATTAATTTCTATTTTAAATTTAAATACCAACGATAAAACTACATTAATTAAGTATATTATTTTAAAGTAAAAATTTAATTTTTAATTAATGAAAAATCTCAAACAACTAATGTTCGTGAATAAAACGAATAACATGTTTGGACGTTTTAATAATAATTTTGAAAGTAAAAATTATTTAGAATTGATAAAAAATAATCACTGCAGGAACCCAAGTGGATTTATAATATTATATATATTATCTGTATTATACTATATCCATATCCTATTAAAGCTTGTGGAGTATTATTCGTTATAATTGATAAATATTTTGAGATGGAAGTTTATATTGTTATTAATAACATAAAAAGTTCCTATAAATACCGAAATTAAATTGATTTTGTTATAAAAATGAACTAGGTAATAAATCATCGGTAAAATACTAAAATAAATAGAATATGACAAGCAATTTAAACTYTAAAGGTATACTGTTGATTAATATATATGTATTCAGATATATTTTTATAATTATACTTATATCATATATTTGATGTTTGTTTTACATCAATTATAAAGATATAATGTAAAAACAATAACTATTTTATTTGGACTAATTAAAGCCTGTATAATATAATATAAGTAACTGCCATACTCATAAAGAATTACATTGTCTAATCAAAAAAATTATTTATTTTAGAAATCCATAAAATCTAGGTACTAAAAACGYATATTATGTAACTTTCTTTACATTCTCAACAAATTAAAAATGATTRCTTAAAAATTAGACCATATTATATTTCATTATTATTATTTATTCGACGATGGATGTTTTTTTCAGATGGAGTTCTACCGACGACTCTTCCTAGTCCAGGATCGTCTATTCGAGATGGAGCACAACGAATTTTGCAATTATGCCAAAAGTCAGAATGGCCACCATTAGATCAGGCCCTAAAGGTGGTCGAAAAATTAGTGGCGGCCGGGGGAGATGATGTGACGTCAACGCCATTAGCCGGTGTAGTGGATCAGGTATAATTACTTTGTTTTTTATGCATTATTGGAATAATAAAATTGTACACATGATGCACAAATATATTTTTTATGGTTTTAAAAAAACCAGGGGTTGATGTCCATTCCAAAATACGCGTGGACGTTGGAAAACTAGCACAACCGGAAAAACGTCATGGTCCGTCGACACGCGATTTACCCTAAAGGCCACAACTTGAACTTAACACATACATTACATGATTAAAGTGAATTGTCTAAATTGGGCTAAACAAAATTAACAAGGAAAAATGATTTGACCTCAACGCGACGAAATGCGAACAATTATAACACATACATGATACTTAATACATTTTATGTATAAGCCATAATGCCATATTATAGAAAATCATCAATATTTTAGGTAGATTTAAAAGTTTAACGCGTACCTATTCAGCCACCTATTAATATATCGATAAAAATAAATAAAAATTATGTCAATAATTATTGTTCCGATTTCAAAACAATAAAAACCATATCAGTTTGAAAATAAAACATTAAATTTAAATTATGCTGCCAGCTAAARCACAAAATATATCATATTGAGTTGATGGCACAAAGGTATATCATTATTTATAATAAAATGTTAGTTTATGCAAACGCATCAAAGAATAATAGTATACCTAGCAATATATATCTTCCCTAATYTGTCCTTTACGAAATATAAACGTTACAATGAAGTCAACAATATAATATTGCAAAATAGTGGAGTCTTTTTTATTGAGGGCTTATTTTATAATATTGAGCAAAGTATTGTGTGCAATGTGCAGTAAAGTCTTATCGATGTGTAAAACTCACCAATAAATGATTGAATAAATAATTTAGCTAAAAAAATATTATTAAAACCAAATAGCATGTAATATTATTATACATTAGTAATWAAATATTTCTTACAGCACGAATTCATTTTATAAAATATTATATTATGTATACAGAGCAATGGAATGACACCCTTAATGTATGCAGTCAAAGAAAGCAAGACTACATTTCTAGAACGTTTGATAGACCTCGGAAGTGATGTTACAATCAGAAACTTGGTAAGCTCTATATCATACAATCATTATTTGCCTATATTGCTTGTAAACGTATTTATTACCATAATCTGAAAACTATTTTTATGTACGACTTACTAAAACTTAACTGATGACTCATGAAGAAGAATTATTACACATAGCGTATAAAACTTATCGTCAGGTTGTAAATTTATTAAGACTGTTGTGTAGATAGTATTTTTTTTATTAATATATTCCGGTCACGCGAAAATACTCGATCGTTTGTCTTCCATAAATTTAATATGACTTGTAAATATACATACAGTAAACTACGCCCCAATTTGGGAGTATTCTGCTATTATTTAGATAATAGCTCATGYGTATAACATTTTCAGGAAAATTTGAATGCGTTGCATTTGGCCGCAACATACTCCAGAGAAGACGTGATAAAAGTGTTACTGCCGAAAAAAGGGGTGGACGTTTACTCTCCAGGAGGTGTATGTTATTYGAACTTTATAATACCATATTAACCTAATATATTGGCAAAACATTTTAACTTACTGAAAACTTGCGTTTAAAGCCAAAACAGCAGACGGCCGTGCACATGGTGGCGAGTAGACAGACGGGTACAGCGACGAGCATACTCCGAGTTCTCCTGGGGTCTTGCGGTAAAGACATTCGTACCATTGCAGACGGGGTATTTTCAATATAACCCAAATTTTTTTTAAATATATTTTTTGAAATCCAATCATTAATACTATGTTCGTCGACAACTAATTCCTACGCTCCGTATAGGACGGTAAAATACCACTGTTATTGGCCGTGGAAACAGGTAACCAGTCGATGTGCCGGGAGCTGCTGTCGACCCAAGCAGTGGAACAGCTTAAATTMAAGACAAAGTCCGGGGACATGGCCATTCATTTAGCTGCCAAACGAAAAGACATAGACATGATTAAAATACTAATTGACTATGGTGCTAGCGTAGACAGTCAAAACGTAGGTACCAGTTAAAATTTTGTTTGTCGTTTGACTGTTAATRTAATATCTACACACGCCTATTATATATCATATACTTTCGAATCGATCTTTTGGAAAATATAGGGGCAAGGCCAGACAGCTCTTCATATAGCTTCTGCCGACGGAGACGAAAGTTTGGTTAAATATTTTTACGGCGTACGAGCTAGTGCTTCTATAACAGATAATCAAGGTATACATTACTCTGCTTAWTATATTATTAATACCGTTCTACATACTTTATTATAATAATATTTTTTTATAATATCATACACGCTTTATTCCAATAAAAATGGAAAACATTTTTTATTTTAACGTTCGTTCGCATCACTGMATCAGTGCTGTCGAATGTCAATTTGATCTYCTCGTATAATCATATACCTGCAGCTGTAGAGAATCGTTATATATTATTGGTTTTGAATTTTCTTCGTTTACAGACCGAACCCCGATGCATTTGGCTGCTGAAAATGGTCATGCAAATATCATCGAGCTGTTGGTCGACAAGTTCAAGGCTTCCATTTACGAAAGGACTAAGGACGGCAGTACTCTGATGCATATAGCGTCATTAAATGGTCACGCGGACTGTGCTATGATGTTGTTCAAAAAGGGTGTTTATCTTCACATGCCGAACAAGAGTGGCGCCCGAAGTATACACACGGCAGCCAGATACGGGCACGTCGGAATCATCAACACGTTGTTACAGAAAGGCGAAAAAGTTGATGTCACAACCAATGTACGCTCGTTATATCATATCGACATGGGTCAATTACAGATCATGTCATTATAATCAGTGGCATATATAGGGGAGGGGGAGATTAGGGGTTCCAACTACACCCGAGAATAAAAGTACCTATACATGTGTGTAGAATTATTATTATTAATTATACTGCAAAAAATTACTGCTATAAGTACCTATTTATATCAAGAGGGATGGGGGGGAGGGGGGTACCTCCCTCCTTTCGAAGCTAAATCTTATTCACGCCACTGATGAAAACATCGTCTAAGTTAATACGTCATAATAATAAATAACTATGATTTTTTAACTATTAGGACAACTATACTCCTCTGCACATAGCGGTCGAATCCGTTAAGCCAGCTGTGATCGAAACATTATTGGGATACGGAGCCGATGTTCAYGTAAGAGGTTAGTGTTAGCTATAGGTATACGTAAATGTACAATGGACATATGGATAGAATCGGAGATCTTTTAAGTTTACTCGTATGGTACTAAATTAAAGGTTAAATAGTATTTATTTTTTTACAGGTGGGAAACTGCGGGAAACTCCTTTACACATAGCCGCTAGAGTAAAAGACGGCGACCGCTGTGCTTTAATGCTGCTCAAGTCCGGAGCCGGTCCTAATCTGGCCATGGACGACGGACAAACGCCCGTCCACGTGGCTGCTCAGTACGGAAATCTCATAACACTTCAGCTATTACTAGACGACGGAGGCGATCCTCTTTTTAAGAACAAAGTACGTTATATTATTATACCCGTGACCGACATAAAAAAAAACATCTATATGGCTACAGATGCTCAATATGAAAGCGAAAAATAACTAAATAATAATTATGGTTTGCAAATAGTAATAGTAATACTAATTGACAATTATTGTACATGTGTTTATAAATGGTCGATAAGTGGGTGGGTKGTTGGCGAGTTAATTTTGGGTTATATTAGATTCGTTTCGCCACTGTATGGCGGCAAACGAAGAAACAAAATAAAAATATTTGTCTGTAATTGTTTTTCTCTAATCCAACGTATTGCACTTGACATGGTATATTTTAGGTGGGAGAAACGCCGTTGCACTTGGCTTGTAGAAGTTGTCAAGCCGATATTGTTGGACAACTCGTGGATTTCGTGAAGTCGAAACAAGGAGGTGAAGTAGCTAATTCATACGTAAACAGCGTGAACGAAGACGGCGCGTCCGCTCTACACTATGCCGCAAATATAAAACAAACCGAAGTTAATGTGTCCAAACCGAACAACGACACTAAAGTTATAAAATTACTTTTTGAAGGAGGAGCTGACATCAATTTACGAACGAAACTGGTAATGTTTAATTTTTAATTTGACGTGTTTATTATACTTAAATACCTATTAAATTTTGTTCGTACGCCACTATTAAAT